AAGCACCGAAAGTGGTGAATTTTTTATCCTTAACCATTTTAATGGCATTTGTCAGATCATTCACATTAATAGGCGTCCTTTTCTTCTTCTCTTTACTTCTAGGCATAATTTCTGAAATAATAGATAAAAAAAATAAAGATATTTGATTAGGAATATATTACACTAGCCATATATACTATTGAAAACAACAACCTTAAAACAACAACTAACAACAAATTTAATTGTCAAAAAAAAAATTTACTTTTTTTTACCTAATATTAATTTAGATTTAAAAATATTTTTTAATCTTATTTTATAATAAATATGTTTGATGTAAATACGTTAAACCAAATACGTTAAACCAAGAAACGTGGAGGAAAAAAAACATGTCACAATGAATAACTCTATAAAAATTAAATTATCATGCATTTAACAATTGTCTATTTAAAAGTCCTGTACTCCAGCAAGATAACAGATATAACAAAATAAAATTAAACAGCTGACCACAAAATAAATTTACAATAACATCCCACAGTGTCACGAAATGGTCATCAACCTTAACCTCATGTCCCGAGAAAACCCTTTGGTGGGATGATAGCCCACATATAGTAGATCACTTAGATATAAATTTGGAAATCGAACTATGACGTCCGAGAGAGATATTTTAGTTTTTATTTTCTTCAATTCTGGCATATCAAAATTTAAACGAGATGATAGGAATTTGGCATTTTTTCAGTATTTATAGAGCAAAAAGTTAATTTTCCCATATATTTCTATAAGACATATAAACAAAAACATATTTTACAATAAAATTGATTCTTTTTATTCTAAAATGAATGTTTGCTGTTGAAATCAATCACACAATTCAGAAGCTTTGATTCATATTCTGGATGGTTTCTTGCCCGTTTGTAACGCTGCCAATCGGAACTGAAGTCGTGATGAAGAGATTCTGTAGCTTGCTCTGAGAAAATGCCAAGACTAGAATTGTGTCTAAGGATGAAATTCTTCAGATGGAAAAACACCGCATGTGCTTTGGGAGTGACTGAAGTATTTGGCAACTTCAGGTACGACTCCTGAAACTGTAAAATTTTTTCTTCAAAATCGGGGCTCAAGTGATTTCCAAAGCAAGCATTCACCACTGAGTTAAAATGTCTCAATGTTTCAACAATTGGCACAGCAAGAAAAAATGAGCTTTGCTCAGCTAAACTTTGAAGGCGATCAGTGTTTTTCAAGAGCTTGCGGCAGTCATTCCCTGCAAATTGGCCACCATGAAAAGACTGCTCTTGAATATGAAGGGCTGCTGGCCATTCCTTTGCTGCGGGCCAAATCTGGCATAAACCTTTGTAGAGATGGTTAACGACTCCAAGAAGCAGATGAAGTTCCATGGGAGGAATGATATCCAAAATTGGTGTGTCATCTGGCAGAGTCATTATGGGTTCATGGATGACGTTTTTGAAGTCTTTTGCTCTCCTTGCATTAGCACCACTGCTTTAAAACTGCAGAAAGTTTTCTCGAATTGAACCAAGTGTTCTGAGACTTCCAGAGCGACTCAAATCTTTTGATTCTGCATCACACCATGAACAAGGATGTGCACTTGCATGGGACTGAAGACCACAAACAAGATTGTCAACTTTCATTTCACAAGAGATTATGTAGGAAAGTTTGTGAAGTTGAAGAGAAGAAATTATGCTTTTCAAGTTGTCATAACTCTCTGGCAGATCTTCTGAAATTGCCACCAGAAGTTGCCGTTTGACTCCTGTGGCTTTAAGCCCTCGTTTTGGTGGGGGAGAATTTGAATCTGTGTTTCTGGCAATGATTCCAAGAGATACTTTCAAAAACCTACCACCTCCATCAATGCCAATCTTCATCAGCGGATCTCCTGAAACATTCCTTACTTTGATAACGTGATTTGCAAGACTTCCTACATCTGGGCAAAAAACAAGCAGTCGTGAAGGGTGCTGGTCATCATTCTTTGTAGAATCTCGTATGGCCTTGGTCTCAAAATGCTCAGAAAGAGATTTCCCGAAACTGTCAAATTTTTCTCTGAAATTTTTTTCTACAATCCGGAGAGGTGTAGCTTGGTTCAAAGATAATGCCAATTTGGACATGCCACGATTTGAAAATCTAGTTCCAATTTGGACTCCAACCATGTCTTGTGCCGTGAGCTTGGGCACAGCAGGAAACAATTCTCTTGCACTTGATGGTCCTAAAGAACATTTACATTTTAAAAGAAATTTATAAGTGATTTATGCTTAAATCTATATTGCTTTACCTGGAACTACGGGAAAACGATTTCCTTTAAGTGGTTGACTTAGCCAAACAGTGCCATGAGGTGATGGAGTTTTATTAGCAGTTGTTAATGATGCTACCCTCTCTGCCGCAATGCGATCCCTCGAAGCAACTTCCACTAAATTTTGCCTTAATGTTCCTGTTGTGCAATCGTGAGGCAATCCACGACCAATCACAGAGAAGCAATCGGTGCACCTTTTTTCAATGCTTGAATTTTTTTTGAGTTTCGGTGGTTCCAAAGGATGACGCTGATTCATATTTGTCCTTGCAGTTTGACAAATCAAACAATTACAAGGAATATTTGTTGCAGCACGCTGAACTGAGATGGTGCTGAAATCAAAGAGCCTTGGGGTAGGTGCATCCTCCCCTTCTTCTCGTCTGCGAATAGCCACACGACATCTTTCACAAATTCCACAAGGGATTTGAAAGTTTGAAAAATCAAGCTTAATTTTGAGGACTGTGCGAATTTTCTCCACTAAAAAACTTGTGATTTCTCGATTTGCCTTCTTCAAACATAGGAAACAAACACATTTTTGGTTTTCTTCATGAGTTTTAGCTTTGTTAGGCATTTTATCAAACTTTCAATGTGTCTTATTTGAAAAAAACTGAATGTGCACCCTTTTCCCGGAATTAGCAAAATTGAAAAACAAACAAAAAATAATAATGATTTCAAAAAACCTGCCCCAATTAGTTATATAATGTCTTAAATAGTACTCTAAGCAACGTAACAACAAAAATGCTGTAAAAATGCCAAATTCCAATCATCTCATTTAAATTTTGATATGCCAGAATTGAAGATAATAAAAACTAAAATATCTCTCTCGGACGTCATAGTTCGATTTCAAAATTTATATCTAAGTGATCTACTATATGTGGGCTATCATCCCACCAAAGGGTTTTCTCGGGACATGAGGTTAAGGTTGATGGGTATTTCGTGACACTGTGATCCATCATCAACCCTGGTTTTTAAAATAAAACTTCACTGTAACTTTAAATAGTTGTATCATTGATAATTTCTATAATTTTTTTATAAAAACTATTTTTATAATTGAAGTACTTAATATCAAGTAGTACATTTATAAAAATTATATTTATAATTAAGGTAAAATAAAAGGAACTGGTCTAAAACTTACAACGAAACTTTTCAAACAACAACCAAAAAATAATGCTACTTTGAATAAAATAAAAATTTACTGTACTTTTTTGTTAAATTAATCGTTTTTCTCAACTAATTAAATTAAAATTACTGCAATAAAATTAGTATAAAATTAGTATAAAATATCTATAAAAATATTAGTATAAAATATTATAAACTTATACTTAAAAAAACGTTGATAAAATAAGACAGCTTGTAAAACTTACTATAATCTATTAATTACTTTATTTTTGTATGCATGTACAATTGTACATGCATGTACATATGTACAAACTTTTGACATCTCCAGCTTCAGTATCACTGCTGGAACACTGCTCTTCAGTTTCTGAATGACCTCCTTAACTAGCTGATTCATCGAAATCATGGTATTGGCTGATGGACGTTTGTTTCTTTATTAACAGTTTTCTCGGATGAATACATTCATTATCTTCAATTGTGGTACAATATCCATCTCTTCCATTTGTTGACATTAGCAGACCATAAAATTTTTTATCTTTCTGACACAACCATTCACCTCTCTCATCAGCTATGTTAAACAATTGGGTAAAATTTTGAGTTCCGGGTTAACAACTATCTTGTCAAGTTTTTTCAATACATTTTCTTAAATACATTGTTTTGACACTTGTTAAATATAAGAATCCATAGCATGTAAAAAATAATTGATTATTATAAAACGTTTAAAACTATCAGACTTCAAAATATATTAGAAATACTTACTTTTTTTCCGAAAAAAAGTTTTAACGTTGATTACAGAAAATACCGGCTTAATGGCGGTATGTGACAAACTTCATATCGAAGAGTTGGTTGTGATGTACCAAATACCATAGACAGTAAAATTTAATATCGTGCAATCATTTGAAACGAGCCCAGTGGCCTAGGTACACATAGTGCCAAGGTTCAACAGGTTCCCCTACTAATTATATAAAACAGAAATTATACTAACAAACATTTACTTTTTTACATACATTTTTTAGTATGTTGGTAAAAAATGATGAATATTTAAATTATTGAAAAATACATCTACCTGTTCCAATGATCCTAGTAAGCTAAAATTTTCAATATAAGCTAGTATATAGATGGAGAACAGGTATTTACACAGTGTATTTGCACTTTTTGAAAAAAGTTAAAAAAGTGCAAAAAAATTGTCACCCTAGTCTCCATGTATAAAGCAACCTTGCCGTATTGTTTTATTTTTGTTTTAAATAAAAAACGTATAACGCGTTAAAATATATATCAAGAAACAACTTTTTAAAAAACTCTTATTTTTTAATACCCATTCACTCTGAAAATAAAACAAGTTTTAACAGTGGCATTTTAAACACGTTTTATATATTTTTTGTTTACATCAAATTTAGAACTGGTTTCAAATTCCACGTAGAAAGCGCAAAATCTATTTTAAAAAACAACCTCGCGATATTGTTTTAATAAGACACGATTAAGATGTACTTTTTATAAGTGCAGGTTTGGTGTGAATGGGGTATAAATTATTCATAAATAGTTTGTATGAACAAATAGAGTTGCGTGTGAGCATTTTTTAAAAATTTGATCACATAACGGCAATGCAAACACAATCACACGCGCGCATGCAAATATTATTGATACAATTTTTTATCTACATAAGATGGATAATTTCCGTTTGCAATTGTGCATTCTAAAGTTATTGTGTGTAGTTTTTGACCCCAGGTAATATGTTTTACTTCTTTAGTTGGATAAAACTTTGTCTGTAATTTAAAGTTTAGTTCTTTATAATCTTTGAATCTGATAAAACACGGCATCTCTACTCGTTGTGTTCTTGCTGTCGCTTCCATGCCTAAAGTTGACCACTCAAATTGATACACTGATTTCTCATCATCGTCGTTTTTGCTTACTCGTTTAATTTCAGGCTCTTCTCCCCCAAATTGTAAAAATCTAGAAAAACAAATGTCTTAATAAATAAATAAATATAAAAAATGCATTATGTTTTACATTCATACATATTGCTGTATATAACTAAAAATTTAAAACATATAACATAAATAATGAAATCTTTACGTTAATTCTAATGGTGGTTTCACTTCCACGTTGACTTTGTATTGAGACTCTATTGCCAGTTTTAGTGTTTGATTTTCATGAAAACGTTGACCATCTTGTTTAAAGTACACTTCACTTCCAGAAACATTGATCAAACGAAAAATAACTTTTATTTTTAACTTTTCGTTAACCAAAGCAATACTCTTTTCTTTCGATTTCGATTCCTTAAAATTTTGCATAACAATATTGAAACTCAGTTTATATTAAATGAATATCGTCTAGTTATATACACTATAATGAAAATTAAAAACGTTAAATAAATAATTCATCTGTGAAAAACAATATTTTTTAAAAAACAAGACATCTGCAAAACAACCGCAGTTCAAGAATTTTTTATTTATGATATAATTATGAGTTTAAAGTATATATATATATATATATATATATATATATATATATATATATATATATATATATATATATATATATATATATATATATATATATATATATATATATATATATATATATATATATATATATATGTATATATATATATATATATATATATATATATATATATATATATATTTATATATATATGTTTATAAATATATATTTATATATATATATTTATATATGAAATGATGATGAAATGAATATATATAAGAAAAATTTAATAAAGTAGGTTATGCGGATGTAGGTAACCCTTCGAAGATTTATCGTCAAGAACATCAGAAATATTTTAGAAAATAAACAGACATTTCTGATTTGTGGTTTTCTATATTATTTGATTAAAACACAAAGTAATGTTCATAGCAAATTTTTATATACTAGTTTATTTTATTAAGAGTTTAATTTTATAGAAATTTTCGAGAAAGAAAAATCAAAGTATATTTTGATATTATTTTTTTGTATATATAGTTACATAAGGAATAATATGAAACAGAGATTCGGTAAAAACTTATTTTTACGGGGAACAATGAAGTTACAAGGTGTGTTCGATTTGCTTCTATCAGTTTAAAGAAAGTTCGTCGTAAATTGAGTAGCAAATCCTATTTTATTTTTTAGCATAACAATATATTATTATTGATATTAACTTGAAATTTATTTAGAATTCATTTTATAATTAAAAAAAAGCAATAAATTATTCCTTTAATAACGCAATAATAATAAATGTGAATTGGTATTGAATTTAATATTCACGGCTTGAATCTCTAACAAAATTTTAATATATTTTTAAACAAGTTTTAACAGTTTATTTAAAAAGGTATTAAAATATTGTTTTTATAATAAACGCTCAATTTAAAATAAATAAAAGATGCTTTATGACATAAGCAATTGAAAGAAAATTGTGCAAGTGCAACCAAATTTTAAAAAAATGGTTTTCTAAGCTTTTGGAAATGTCTGGTTTTATACAGTCATGTTATTCTAGCCACAGTTCCATATGGTTATGACACAAAAAAGTTTAGGATAATCTAGGATATATATATATATATATATATATATATATATATTTTTTTTACCATATAAATGTGTGTGTGTGTGTGTGTGTGTGTGTGTGTGTGTGTGTGTGTGTGTATGTGTGTGTGTGTGTGCGTATGTCTGTGTGTATAGTGTATCAGTTAAAACATACTGTTGCTTGCTTTAATTTAATTTTTGCTAATAATTTTTCGTTGCTTCAGTTAAAACATATCGTTATATTTTTTTTGAAATAGTATTTATTTAGTCATTTAAACATGGAATTAAACATTAAAATAAATGATACGCTAAAAATATTATGAAAGTTTCAATGCAATAATATGCAATTTTTATAAATTATGCAGCAATTACATACGCCCGTATATAGTGACGGATCCCCCGCTGAATCCGTCACTGCCCGTATACATGCCCATTAAAGATCTTTAACTTTTAATAATTTACATTTCTTATAGAATATAAACAAAATACCTTGTAAAAGAGTAAAACTTAAAACTAATTTTTTTCTAGAAACAGTGAAACCAGTAATACTAAATAGGTCACCTCAGAAAAAAAGCATTTTTTTTTTAGGTACAAGCTGGTTCATCGTATATCCATTATATCAACAATCCATATAGAAAAATAATTTTTAAAATTAAGGAATTAATAAGAGACCAATTGCCTAACTAATAACAATGATCTGTTCCTCTTTTTACCTCATTTAACTAAATAAATCAAAATTTAAATTTTGACCTTAAAATTCAGTTTTCCAATAAAGCAAAAGAAACTTTATACCAAAATTTAAATCATATAAAAGTAGATGACAACAGCTATTTTTTTAACCAGTTTCAAGAACTTTTTTTTGTGAGCAAATGTCTCATTGTTAAAAACATTTTCAAAATATTTACCTAATCGATTAAAACGAACAAGCTAAGAATAGTAAAAACGCGTCTCAGCTTAGCGTTTAAATTTTAATAAAGACGAGTTTTACTAATATTTGTTGATTAATTCCTATACCGACGTTTAAAGTTGGAGACTTAATATGATATCAGACCGATCTCAGCAATACCTGTATTCTTAAAATTTGTAATTTTTTGAAGTGAAAGTAAATATTTGAGTATTCAAGAAAAAAACAACAACATTCGGATTAAGTTACTTTAATTGCGTGAAATGATTATTCAACAGATTCTAAAAAAACAAAGTAATTTTAAAAGCTGTAAACATCTTACACATTAGATGAAATAAAAACTTTAAATGTAATACATAGACAAATGCAGTGCATGCAAATCTTAGCTAGTTTTTATTTATTTTAGATTTTATTAAACACCCACTATACAAGTAAGGTAAATTAAGAGTTTCATAGAAGATAAATAAAAAAAATCTTGGAATTTCTTTTTTTTTTTACGTGATCATCTAGGAAATATTTTTTTCAAGAATATCCTTGAAGATAGTTCTTTGTTCTTTTGAGTTCCAGTACTCAACTGCACATTTTAGAGCTTGAAGCTCCGTATCAAAAATTAAATTTATAAGGCCGGTGATTTTTATTTTTTTATTTTTTTTAACTGTCTCCAGATTTAGTTCATGATTGTTGCACAAGCCTTTGATACTATCTAAAAAAGGTTGTGGGGCTGTTTTGTTTTTCAGCTGCAACTTTATAGTATCATATATCATTTTATTGTTCATCAGGCAAATAAATAAGTTTAACTTGTTTTGTTGTATAATAATTGATATATCTTTAATAAAAAGTAAGGTATGAATGTAATTTTTGCTATGTTTTGAAACGTTGAAGAGTGACTTAAATACTTTTCTTCCAACTATATCAAGCTTTTGCATTACTATTTTTTTATGTTCACACAGCTCAAGACCATAAGTTAGTGTTGGAACAGCTAAAGTTTTATATAACTGGACAATGGAGTTCAGGTGAGCAAAACGGATTCCTGATTGAATTAGGGTTTCGATTACCGTTCGGAAGTTAGATATTCGATGATTAATATTTGATTTATTAAGAGGCAAAAGGTGAACTTTTTATATCTCATGTAAAGCCTAGATAAATAAGTTTATCATGAAGTTTTATTTGTTGGTGGTTGAGAGTTATTGTGCAGTTTTTAATTTGGTTTTTTCCGGTGAGCGGGAACTCGGTTTTGTCAGCATTCAATTTTATGCAGTTTTTGTGTGTGTACATATTACATATGTTAATAACCTTTCGTAGGTTAGAGAGGGTGGAGCTAAGGAGTATAATGTCATCAGCATATGCTACAACACCCGTACAGTTTCCATTGATTGATGTACCTACGACGGTTTCGTTCTGTAAGGTTTCTAGTAGGTTTTGAATAAAAATGTTATTCAAATGAGGCGAGAGAATAGATTCCTTGCGTTAAATAGAAAGGATACGATTTGCAATCTAGATAAGAAACAGAAGCTGTTGCGTTAGTTCGCTAATGCAGCAGCCAGTATGCTTCTTTACTTTGTATATTTAACTGAACGCGTAGCAAGTCTCGCTCTCTTACGCTACCTTCGCTACGAGCTCAGCATTTGGCGCGATCCAAGTTTGCAATTGTAAATAACGAGACGTATCTTCAAGAAATATATATTAAAGTAATCTTATCTATGTAAATTAATGCTGGAGTCCCTTCCAAACTCTTTAGAAGCACTGCTTTCATACTATAATGACGATATGGTATTAACAATATACAGAGGAAGTTTTTTATCATTGTACAGTCTCACAAAAAGAATGTCCCAGTTGCAGCTGTCAAACGCTTTTTCAGCATCTAGGGAACAGAGATAGACAGGCGAGTTGTTGTTGTTGTAGTGTTTAATTGTTTCACTAATAACAAATTCAGCGTGTAGGGTTAAGCTATTTTTAGTGAAACCGAATTGAAAAGGATGAGTTTGTTTTATTTCTGAACAGATTAATAGGATAAGATATTCTATTAGTCTCGTAAAGATTGGAATAATGCTAATGGCGCGGTAGTTATTTGGATCAGTTAAGGATTTTTTATACGATTCAACGAGTGGTTTTGTAAGTGATGTAAACATTGATTTTGGGGTCTGTCCATGATTAATAGAAAAGTTAAAGAATTTTCTAAGCCATTCTGTTAGTGCTTCACTTTAAATGTTCAGCTGATATTCCGAAGGCGTCCTTGGATTTGTTTAATTTAAGGCGAGAAATAACCGTTTTTATATTTTCATCTGATATTATTACTTCATCGAATTTTATGCAAGGTGGAATTTTTAAATTTGTAGAGGTATACGTGATTGCTTTAGAGTTTAATCGATTTTCAAAACTGTAGGCAAATTCTTTCGTGATCGATTCTTTATCTTTTTTATTATTTATGGTGTAAATTTTCGAATTTGCATCTTTTTTTATATTTCTAAATTTTTTCCAAAAATATTTTGGATTTGGATTTTTTAACGTTTCAATTTTTATGTATTCTTTGTACAGGTTTTTGTTTTGAGCGTTTTTTACAGGATTGCGGAAAATTTTTCGTGCCATACGGTATCGAATAAAAATTTGCGAGTTTAAATCTTTAACGAACCCAGTTTCCCGCCTTTTTTAAAAATAAAATGAAAGAACATTTTTACTACGGTTTAACTCGGGTGTCCACTAGGATTTTGAATGCAATAGCGGTTTTTTCATGGATAAATATTGACTAAGTGCCTCAGATGCCGATTTTGTGATAACAGTATATACTTTGATAAGTTCTTCATCGTAATTGCCATCCGTAAAATTGTAAAAATTAAAATTAGTATTTAAGCGATTGTTATATAATTGTAAAAAATCATTGTTATTCCAGGCATAATTTGGAATGCTGAACTTGTCTGAGTTTTTATGACACTCATGTTTTGAGAT